GACTATTGATCCTTCTTTTGGAGGATTTAGACCTGATCACTTACCACCTCCTACTTAGAGACATAAATATTTTAAACTTATATTATTTTAATAAAATATTACAAAAAATAAAATAAATTATTTTTAAAATATTTTTTTAATTTTTAAAATGTAAAACTAATAAATATTATCCTCTATTTATAATTTATATTATATATCTGTTCCATTAAAGCGAAATAAAAGTCTAATTCAGAGCACCCACTTTGATAAATTTTTATGGAATTTCTAGTTCACCCAAGAGCCCAGCCTGCTAGCAAAACCCAATAATGGCCCAATATCATAATTGAAATTCGAAGGTGCAAATGGAGTGCTAACACACTGACACTGAGTAGACTGAAAAGATGTCTTCCTCTTTATTATTGGTGTCCATTCCGTTCCCGGCAGTTAACGGTGGTCTGATCCTAGATAACCACCGGAAAATTCAGTCTTTGAATTATCAAAATGGCAGAAGCAAGGATTCGCTTGGCATTCGGTCGAGGGATTGTAAGTTGAAACCAAAGTCGAATTCGAGGAGGCTATGCTGCAACTCTCTGCTGGCTGATTTTGCCCCCACCGCCTCCGCCGCATACGGTGTCCTGCTACTCTCTGGCGGTGTCTTTGCCTGTATTCTTCCTTTCACGACCTCTGTGTATCCCTTCGATTTTTATGGAAATGCTGATCGAGATTTGTTATTCGGTTGCAGTTTCCAGATCCGGAAGCAAGGGGTCACTCTTTGGCGGCTTCACTGGAGCTGCTCTAATGGCATCTGTATGTTTACTTTCTCTCTTTCTCATATTTTCCAGAACATTATCTTCTTTGTTGAATAGGAGTACCTAGTAGTGAGTATAACTTCATATCTCTAAACGCATTTTAATATATAGCTTAATTGTATTACCTAGGGGTGTCTCACTGATAAAAGCTTGAGACTTTAAGCTGAAAGTCTCAACTTTGAACCTTGAGACGGGTGAGTGGGATTTGAGAAAGGGAGAGCTATAGCTCATCCGATGGAACCAAATATTATTTTCTAATTCTTTCTTTGATTAGTTTTATACACTGACATTGATGGTTGAACTTCGGTAGATGAACTTCTTCAATCAGAAATTGATATCACTGACACTGAGCTTATCAGTTAACTATACAATTCAAGTGTTCATTCAACTGAAATTTAGCATTAAACCTGTCTTTAAGCTATTGTACTTTGTTTTCTGATTGAAAACACAATGGTTTTTATGTGTAGCGGTTGTTAGTTATAGGGTACAATCAGTAGATGGAGCCCAATCTCATTGGTTCTGATAGTAAAATGCATAAACATTCATACTGGTCTGCCATTTATTCTTTTGTTCCACCTCTCTCAGAGTTTGCTCACAATTCATTGGCATTCAATGTCAAAGTTGCAGTCTGCTTTCGTTGCGTCAATTAAAGAGCATATGTATGTCTTTCCCAAATTTTAATATTGGATTAGAGCCATCTTGGTATCATTGTTCATTGGTTCTTTCTGTAGAACCTTATAAAATTCGTTGGCTTCGCAATACTAGCAGGATCCTGTCCAATACATTTACTAATTGCATTGCATTATTGAATTCGTATTGCATCATTGTTCATTATTATCAAACTTGAGGTTTTGTATTTTATTTTTTAAAGTACAATTTGGTTTTCCTTGACAGTTGTGATCCTTGATATGTTAGTCCCCCTTGTTTCAACATGTCAGATTGTTCAACTAGTTCTACTTATAATTGCATCTATTACTGTATGAAATTCTAGGGGTGACAATTCAATGTCAACTTACTCTTGATTAATTGTTCCTTGGATTCTCCCTATCACTTAATTGTCCTGTTTCTATTATTTGACACTTAATCCTTGGCTCATAGTTAGAATCTTCAGTACTCATGCTCTATTATTTTTTTATGCATTTTGAATGCATGTGTGTGTGCTTACAGTTTAGCTTTCAATTAACCATCATCTGTTGGCAAAATAAGAAAAATAATCATCACCCATCAACTTGACTAAATATATCAGGACTCCACAGTTCACATTGCATAACATGTCTATTTAAGGATGTGCAAGATGCCGTGGGATAGTGCTGAAGAAGAGAAAGAGATAAAGGAGAAGTATAAAGGAATAAAAAAGAGTAAAGAATACAGAAATAGGAAGAAAAAGGAGAGAACTAGAGGAGAATACTAAACACTCAGTTTTTTTTTTTCCTCTCTTTTGTGGTCAACACTCAGTTCTTCATTATCATAAAACTAAAACAAAACTGTAAAGAGCAAAATGAACCAAAAATACATAATTAATGAGGATTCATCTTACAGAACTGTAAATATACAGAGAGTTCTATGGCAATACTATTGTAATAAGGATTCCTAATAAAATACATAATTAAAACCAATTTATCTCTAGTTGAGTAATAAAAAATAAACCAAAAATCTCTGTTAGACCTATCAATAATAATAATAACAACAACAACAGTAAGAAACAATAACATCAACAACAACCAAACTTGTTTTTTCCTTTATTGAGAATAAAGTATCTGTTCTGTTTAACTAACTGCTAAGTTTGAAAGGTGATGGCTGTTTCTTGAGTGCCTATTAATGCTTGAATAGGTACTTAAACATACCCTTAAATTAGTTTCACCTGCCACCATGAAACCATCTATATAACTATTACTTTGTCACTGAATTTATACTTAAACCTTATTTGGGCCAACTGATGGGATTGCAGAAGTTGCTGTTAGTCAAATTGAAAGGTTATGAATTTCTCCATCTGCACTAGAATTGTAGATATCAGAATCTGTTAACCTGTAGCTAACCTTTTATTTTTGTTCTTCATAAAATTTTCCAAAAGGTTCATTGCATGAGGTGGTGTATTTATCAAAACTGGTGGAGTTCAATTTCCCAGTGTTACATCTTCTTTTTGCTATTTTGATTCTATTGACTTGATCTTTGCAAGTAGTTCATGGGTTTTAGATGCTGAATCAGTAGTCAAGGCTAAGTTAACATTTTGAGGTTTTGAATGTCTGTTAAAGCCTGCTCTGCTGATTAACGTAAACTCTCATACCATTAATTCTGTACTTAAGTTAGATATTCTTCTTTCCCATATAGGCCTACTTTCTTATGCAATCATCGGATAAAAAAGCACTTGGTGATGCCATTGGGTTTGGATCTGCATTCCTATTCTCTTCTGTTTTTGGTATGTTTTTACCATATGTGGTCTCTACCTTTCTTCTACTAAAAAAATTTGGAATACAACTTATAAGCACATCTGAGGGATTCTCATTATAAAGCCTGTCTCTTTTCATTTGGCACTTTTTCAGGCATAAGATTGGCTGCTACGCGGAAATTGATTCCTTCAGGTCTTTTGTTAGGTCTTTCTATCTGTGCATTGGCTGTGTTTGTCTCAGCATATTTACAAGATAGTGTTTGATCATTGTCCCTTGTATTTGGTATAGCATTGCTTGGAAATCAATACTCTTCGTAAATGAATAATCAAGTCACTCAATCTGATATCTGTACACCAAGCAGCTAACCTTAGAGAACAGTCTTGCAATATGTTACTACTTCCTTCTCAATGAAGTTTTGCTTCCGTGTCAACCATGCGATTGTACAATTTCCTTGATGCAGTTTAGCAGTGCAGAGTTCACCATGCAGAATACTTTACACTATTCGATAAAGCTACTCATGCTTAATTAATATAACAGTATCATTGTTAGATATGTAAAAGTGATCCGGTGGTTGCCGTTTTCTAAGAATGGACAAGGCCTTGGGAATAGAGAAGTATTATGGAAGGATTGTGTGTCAAAGCACAATGCATATGTAGTGGGAAGTACACTACTCATGGGACTCCACACTCATTGATGGCTAACTTGTGCCAAGATTCTGGGGGGTAAGTTGAAAGAGCTGACTTTTTGCTACTCTATTCTCTGGTCTCTTGGTTGTCTCGAGATTGTGGGTACACTTGCTCCATTCTTAAAAACATGTGCTCTTGAGCTTGTGTTTTATAAAGTAATCAAGGAAGCCAAGAGCCAAAAGCAGATATTTCAAGTTTTGAAGCTTTGACCTTTACGGTTCGTGAATGTCAACAAAATCAGGCTTCAGTTACTGCTATATTTTTAAGTCTTATGGTACAGGAAAATTGACTTTCTGACGCAAAACGTGTTGAGCTTCTGTTTTAACTCTTATGTATTAGCATCCTTTCAACTTTCTTCTTTCATTTTAGAATAATAACCTTGCTATTTTTCCAGAAGTCCCTGCTTCCTGATACTGGCAGGGAAGAGCATGCATTAGTTAGACTTGGAACTAGTTTTCATGGACTAGTTTCTTGAGATTTAATTTTAGGTTCCATATTGATATGTATAAGTG